CAATTCCTGATTAGGGCAAAGTGATCCTCCCTTGTGAAAAACTGTCAAAACAGAAAAACAGAATTAAATCCATTCTGAAGAAAGATAGCACCACCCAGAGGTTCTACAGATTTTTATTCCGTAGGACAGTAATTGAGTGAAAAGTATCCAGGCTTCAGGTCCAAATAATAGAAGAACAAGAGAAAAAAAGACAACAGAAAGAGACCCAGGGGAGAAATAGATATTGGTGTTATTAGGCATAGACTTTAAATTTCTTTTCTTATTAACATATGCAACAATATTGGTTTCAAGATGGGGAACATTACTAAAGAAATGGGATCTCTACAAAAGGATTAAATAGAATTTCTGAAACTAAGAAGTATAAAAACAAATTAAAAACTTGATCAAAGGGTGCAAAAGATACCTAGAATTAGTTTCTATTGACTTAGATGAGTCAATGAAAATTATTCAGATAAAGGAAGGAAAACAGAAGAGATTAAAAAATTAGATGAATGTAAGACATCTATGAAATAGAGTAATAAATTTTAATAGGCATTTAATGAAATCTTATAAGAGGTGGAGTAAGAACTTGTGGTAGAAGTATTGTTAGAAGAGAACCTGTCTAAGAATTTTCTAAAAGCGTTTAAAAAATCCAGATTTGGGGGCACCTGGGTGGCTCAGTTGGTTGAGCGACTGCCCTTGGCTCAGGGCATGATCCTGGAGTCCCTGGATTGAGTCCCTCATCGGGCTCCCTGCTCAGCGGGGAGTCTGCTTCTCCCTCTGACCCTCCCCCCTCTCATGTGCTTTCTCTCTTTCTCAAATAAATAAATAAAATCTTTAAAAAAATAAAAAATCCAGATTTGGGAAACTTTGTAAATCTTAAGCAGGAAACAAACAAAAAAACAAAAACAAGGAAACCATACCAACGTATATTCAGCTTACTGCTGAAAACAAAGACAAAGAAAGTCTTAAAAGGTGTCCCCAGAAGAGAGAGAGATATATTGTCTTTAAAAATAACATCAGTAACACTGACAGGTAAACTTTAAAAGAAATGATGTGTTTAGTAATTTTTTTCTGTAGTAACAAACAATCTCAGTATTTCAATATCTTAGAATCACACTTCTTTCTTACTCTTGGCTGTGGGTTATGGATGCCTCCGCTGAGCTCTACTAGCTTTGATTTTATCTTTCTATTTTAGGGTCCAGACTGAAGGATCAGTCCCTTTTACATGGCAAAGGCAGAAGCAATAAAGTAAAGCAAAATATACAAGGACATTTAAAATTTCTGATTGACATAGCATATACTAGGTCTGTTCACAATTCATTGACTAAATCAAGCCACACAGCTAAGAGTGACAATGGGCTGGGAAAGTATACTCCAACGAAGGCAGCACGGCAAAAGTGGGAATACATCATATCCATAAGAGGAAGGAGCAGAGAGTTGGGAACAGTATAATCTCAAATGATGGGAGCTCTCAAATGGTGTGATTAGATTTGGGACCTACCCAGATAATCCAGGATAATCCCCACACCAAGATCCTTAACCGAATCACATCTGCACCCATCTTTTTTCCTTATAAATTAACATGTATGGGTTCTAGGGATTAGGACCAAATATCTTTGGTTTGTTGTTTTTCACTCTACCACAATCTGGAAGGGATAAATTTCCAAGTGGTCATGTTCATCTGGATTCCACAGTGGAACTATAAAAAGGGAGCTTTAGGAGAAAGCTATGGAATCTACCCCTTTGTGGAAGCCGCTGCCTAGAGGGGAAATGCTGTCTGTGAGGAAACCGTTGTCTCTGTGGAAAATGGTTTCTCCACAGGTTTCTCTCTCAGGAATTATGGTTTCTGTGGAAGCTGCTGCTCTGTGGAACTACAGTCACGCACCTGTGGGTAGAGTTGGAGGTACTGTGGGTTGACAGAGTAAGAAGTCAGAAAGATGAAGTAACTGTATGTGAAGAAGGACGAGATAGATGATGATGCGGGGTCTACCCGGCGCTTCAGCATCCACTTTTTGGACCTTCTGTTGGACTTCAGCATCCTTTTCAGAGTAACGATTTCTGCCTCGGTTTTATCTTCCAGTTATTCCGTGAGTTCCCCTCATTGCCCAGTTCTGACAAGGACCTAAACGGGGAAAGGGATTCTGGGAAATGTATTTCCCAGACAGGAATTTTGATGCTAGTTTGACCACAGGAAAAACCCAGCATATTCCACATTTCTGCTGACAGTTAGTATTGCCAGCCTTTAAATTCAGCCATTTTGGTAGATGTACTGGTACCTCACTGTATTTTTATTTTCAATATTTTTTCTAGTGAATAATTATGTTCAGCAGCTTTTATATGCTTTTATGGCCGTTTGAATATCTTCTTTCATGAAGGGCCGCTTCAAGGCTTTCTGCCCATTTTTTAATTAGAGCTTTTTATTATCGATTTGTAGGAGTTAATTCTATCTCGACTACTAGTCCTGTATAAATTTGGATATGTATTTATTATACTAATTCAAATCCAAACCGAACACATGTCTTTCCAAGGCTACAACTTGCATCTTTTCTCTCTTAATACTTCTTATTTTGAATGAAGTCTAATTTTCCTGTTTTTTATTGTTAGTGTTTATTTCATCTTATTGTTAGTGTTTAAGAAATCTTTGTCTGCCATAAAGCTATAAAGGTATTGTTATGTTTTAACTAGAAGCTTTATATATTTGTTTAAAGATTTATTTATTTGAGGGGCACCTGAGATCCAGCCCCACGTTGGGCTCCCTGCTCAGTGGAAGTCTGCTTCTCCCTGAGTGTCTGTCTGTCTCTCTCTCAAATATAGATTTATTTATTTGAAAGAGAGAAAGGGAGAGAGAGAGAACAAGCGGAGGAGAGGCAGAGGGAGAGAGAAAATCCCAAGCAGACTCCCTGCTGAGCTTGGAGCCCCAGAGGAGCTGCCCAGGGCCCTGCGTGGGGTTCCTCCTGGGGCTTAACCGGGAGCTGGATCCCAGGACCTTAAGCTCATGACCTGAGCCTAAATCGCAAGTTGGATGCTTAACTGACTGAGCAACCCAGGCACCCCTAACTAGAAGCTTTATATTTTGAACTCTCATATTTAGTTCTATGATCCATTTTAAATTAATATTTATGTATGGTATAGGGTAGATATGAAGTTTCACTTATTTCCATGCAGATATCGAATCGATTCAGTTCCATTTATTGAGAAGACCATCACTTTCTACCTCTAATGGCAGTGACAAATTTTTTTTAACATATAAACAAGTCAGTTGTGTGCATTGTATGAATAAGTCTTTTTTTCTTTTTTTTTTTTTGGACTACTTCTGGTCCTGTGGATGTATATCTATTTTGGTATGAAATCAAACTGTTTTTATTATTATGACTTTAAAGTAAATCTTGATATTCAGTACCATAATTTTTCCAAACATTCTTCTTTCCAATGTTGTCTTGGCTATTCTTTTTTTTTTTTTTTAAGATTTTATTTATTTATTTATTTAACAAAGAGAGACACAGCGAGAGAGGGAACACAAGCAGCAGGGGAGTGGGAAAGGGAGAAGCAGGCTTCCTGCAGAGCAGGGAGCCCGATGCGGGGCTCGATCCCAGGACCCTGGGATCATGACCTGAGCTGAAGGCAGACGCTTAACGACTGAGCCACCCAGGTGCCCTGTCTTGGCTATTCTAAATCCTATGCATTTCTATGTTAATTTTAGAATTAGCATGTCATTTAAAAAAAATCTATCTGATATTTTCAGGGATTGTATTCACTCTGTAGGTAGATTTGGGAGACTTTATATCCCAAGAATATAGAGTGTTCCAATTCAAGTATGGTTAACTCTCCACTTATTAAGGTTTTCTTTTATTTTGTCAGCAACGCTTGCAGGCTTGGTTTCCCAGGAAACAGATTCTGAAATCAAGATTAGTGTGCTGGGGGTTTATTAGGGAGCACTCTTGGTGTTACCACCTGTGCAAGGGAGCGGAAGGAAGCAGGATTGGGCAGAAAGTTTTTCGAATTTTATTACATTTATTACTATTTTATTTTTGCATGCTCTTATAAATGGTATTGCTTTTTAAATTTTTCCATTGTTTACTGCTAACCTTCAGAAATATAACTGATGTTTAAACATTGAGATATTTTGAGACTTTATCCAATAGCCCTGATAAAATATTTATTCTAATAATTTATATCATTTATATATAGAACATATATATACACACGTAATTACATTAACTACATATAAAAATGTCTTATTTCTTCCTTTCTCATTTTTTATATTTTTAAATTTATTTTTCTTGCCTTATTTTACTTCTAGGACCTCTAATAGACAGTAGAAGTTACTGAATAAAATATTTGATAAAGATCATTCTGATCTTGTTCCAGAGCTCAAAAGAAAAAACATTCACTTTTCACCAAAGGCATGATGTTAGGTTTAGAGTTTGTTGTTGGTGGTAGTTTTTTGTTTCATTTGTTTTTTTCCTCTTTGTTAATATATCAGTGTTTATCAGATTAGGGAAACCTTCTTCTTCTAGTTTTCTTAGAGATTAGCTGTTAAATTTTATCAAATGCTTTTCTACATCTATTAAAATAGTAATAGATTTTCTCTCTCTCTTTCTTATTTTTTTCTAAATGTAAATCAACTTGTATTACTAGAATAAATCCCAATTGGTCGTGATGTATTATCCTTTCTATATATTCCTAGATTTCATTTTCCCTGGTGTTCTGTAAGGTTGGTATTTTCCTTGTTTATTCCTGGAAAAGCAGGAAAAGTTAGCATCACGTTTCTGAATGTTCACCCAACACACTGTATTTATGCTCAACAGTATCTGGACTGTATCTAGATGAGAAGGTATGACTTTGGATTCCTTTCACTCAGCAAATGAGAAGAAAGAAAGAAGAAAGTTTAAAAATGTACATTGTTAGGAGACAGACAACGATTTAGTCTCCCAGCATCTTTATTCCCTTTGTGTGGTCCACAAGATGTGTCCTCCCTAAAGTTGCCTTAATCGCAGGATAATAGAGAAAAACTTGCACTAACTATATTTTCCATCTGGTATTTCACTCTCAATCTTCACTGGATCAGCCAGCTTCTGGCATATGAAACGCATTGGAAGACTACAGTCTGTATAGTAAATATATACTGTGTCTATATACCCACAATGCATCCTACCATTTACATCATTTCTGTTTCTTGTAAGCCTGAAAGAGAAAACAAAGAATTACAATTAGCAAGTCAAATATTTGAAATACATCCACAGGAAAAAAATTACTTTTTCAATATATCATTGCTCCTGGGTCTGCATTGCCTAAAATAAATTTTAATTACTATTTGGAGTATCAAGAGTGTCCAAGTTACTTATCTTTATCAACCTACATGCAGTATCAAACACTGCCTTACTTCAATCTGCCTTTTCCACTTTTTTACATCTGGACTATTTGCTGTCCTTTACTTCCAGATGTATCACCTCGCTTCCCCAATACTTAATATGATTTAGAATAATACAGTTCTCTTAAAATCTCCAGTCTGGCCCCTGTAATAAATCTTTGACACTATCTCTTCAAATATTTTTCATAATCACCTAAGCCAGGAATTAACCTAATATACGGTACCGTCTGTTCAACATCATCTCCAAGTAACATTTCCCTCTAGCCATTTTTCAGAGATTTTATCCTGAAGTTCTGAATAATTACCAGCTCCTAAAATAAGATTACTGAGCAGGGACTAGGCATCAAAGACAAACTTATAAACTGAAAGTATTATCTTTTGGGAAAAATTTAGTATTAAATATTTTGGTCAATAAATAATGAACATTAATAAATAAATATCAATTCAGTTTTCAAAAGTGAAATTTCCTATTTGAAGTGACACGATACAGATGTCATTGATCACAGCACCTTTCAAGAAACTAATCCCAAAATAACGTTAAGAATAAAAAACAAAATGAAATACATATATGATTATATATTGTACACATATATAATGTATTATATATACATATATTATATATTTTTTATTTTGGTATTATTTCTTAATAATTTGAAATATATACTGTGTTTTCTAGTCCGCTATAGATTACCTTCCCATTAGCAATAGTTACAAATAAACACATGGAAATTCTACTTTTTCAAAACAAGATTCCATCTGTATTCTCCCATGATGCACACACGACCTTTACTTCTACTCCCTTCACTCCAACTGAGATCTTTAAAATATACCTCCTTTTCTCCTCCATTTGCATACATATTATCCTTTGTTCTGTCGCATGATTGTAAACTGCCAAAGACAGCGCTGCCTTGTCTTTTGGACCCATATTATTACATCTACTATTTCTGTCTGAAGGAAAATGCAAACAAAACAAAACAATCAAAACTTGTATTTGCTTCTTGCCCACAGTGGGGAGTGTGCAGGAATCTCAGGGTTTAGATTTAGTGTGGCTGGCCCCCCACACAACTGCCCTGCATTCACTCCTGCTTGATGTGTCCTCAACAAACAAGTATGTAGAAATTCGTGGGCAGGTTGAGGCTCTGGTTTCTTTCTTTAGTCTGCTTCCCAAATTTAAGGGATTATAAAATACAAATGGAATTTTGGCATTATGTTTATGTACTTCTTGCCTGTCCATTCTCCCCCTATGTCAGGTAGCACATATATAACATATGAATCTATTCATGATGGTATATTTACAACCATATTTCTTAATATACTACACAACAAATTGTTTTATATATGCCATATATACAATATACCATGCCCTTGCTCATCTTATTCTCTTTACTGAAAATGTTTTACTATCTCTAAGTTTTTCATTCAAAATGGCCATTTCAAATAACAGTCACGGCTAAACTTTATCTTTGGTTATTCCATGTATTTTTACTGACGGATTTATCACATTGTATTCTTTTTATATGTAGAATTGTTTAACTAGTCTGCACATACAATCAATAAGTAACAAAGAGAAGAATCAATCTTTCATTCATCTTTGCATCCCAGCATGTGAAAGAGTTTTAAGCACATGGTTAGAACCCAGTGAATTTTGTTGGCTTCTATAATTTTCTGAGATGAAAGTCTCCCAGAAATCCCTCCTTATTTGGCTACTAGAAAGAAATTCATTAGTGACTTGTCAAGATAATGAGAAGACATCTGTGGCAATTTTTTGCGTTATCAAACATTAAAGAAGGCTGACAGAAAAGAATTATTTAAGGGTTCAATTTCAACTGAAGCTAGTTTTAATTGTAATAAATACTGCTCCTGGGGGAAACACCTTTACTCAAACCAACCGGAAAAATTCAATAAGAATGAAGACTTACCAATTGGAAGAGATAATTGTCTCATCCAGTTTCTGGTAACTTTGATCTTTTTTGGTAGATAATCCCAGCCAGTATCTATGTAACCTCTTGGATTTTATAAATTCCTACAAGAAATAGAGATGGTTAAAAAAATAATTGTCTCCCCCCCCCAAGAAAAATAACTCTCCCATTTCTGTACATTACCTCACAACGTAAGTTCTTACAAATTACTGTTTTAAGGTAACACTTTTGACATTACACTACTACTTTTTGATGCCATTAGAAGAAATTGAAACAAAGTGCTCCTTACTGTAAGATTTCCTCCAACAGTTATTTATCAGTTACTGTTTCACAAGGAAAAGTATCTACCAATCCATGCATTACTTTAACTTAGGGCCAATGAAGGTCACAAACTTCAAGATTCAAGTATCCAGTAGTAGTCAGTCCAGGAGCAAAGGAAGTGGTTAATTACTATATACTCAAGTTAATAGAAACTGAAAAAGTAGGAGAAAAAATGTAGCAAAGTCAGATGAGAAGTGGTTATAGAATAGAATTTAGATCCAGTCCAAAATTTTATAGCCAAAGTAAGTTCTTTTTCCCTCATTTTCTAGACATTTTCTTTTCTTTCTTTTTTTTTTTTATAGTAAATAACTAAGAATGGATCAGTTGACAATGATCAGAGGAGGAAGAGACTATGGTTTGATTTTCCCTGCAGCCATAAAGGAGGACCCAGCTTCTTACAGTAGGGAAGCGGACACTTTTGTAGAAATGAATTTTTTCCTTAAATAATATGGGAATACTATCTGAGAGACCAGAAATGCAGAGGAATAAGTAAAATATGGAGATGCTACTTAAATATTAGAAAAAAGAAAGTAAAGAAATACATATATACATAAATAAATCTTCCAGAGAACTCATTTTCCTGGGACCCCGGTAGTCAGTATAATATATCTATTTAGCACTTGCCTTTGACATCCCATCTTAATTATACCTTTTTATACATATTTTATCCAACCTATCTTTTTATTCTGGTATATGTTGCCTTTTTCTCTTAGTTAAAAAAAGATAAAATGGTAGAAACAAAGAATCTTCTCCTATATAGATTTTACAGAATTGGTAACCCTCAGGAACGATTTCCAGATCTTCTGCTTTTAGATAAATTCTTAGAAATTGTGTTCTAAGAGTTGATCCTAAAGTTTCAGTTTGGAAATGATCACAGACCTAAAAATTCTCACAGACCCACATCTACCCATCTGCCCAGCCTTTGAGATTCCACTGACGTTAAGGGCCTAAACCAAGGTTTTAGATGACACCTTGGCTGTCCTTCCGTATGATAAATGTACTAAGTCTCAGTCACCTCACACCCTAACTAAAATAACCTCATGTCTGGATTAGTACAAATCTTCCCCAACATGCTTCATTCCTCTCTATTCTAGATGGGAAAAGTGACTTCCTTCCTCACAGGCAGAGATCCAGGGGACCTTACCAATACACTTTTGTTCTTAATTGTCAGCAGGCTGGCATTTTGAGCAGAACAGAACATGACACTCTCTTGCCATGTTTCATAATTGTCAGTTAGTATGTAACAGCTGTCCTCATGCCACATCCATGTCTTTGGACAAGGTTTACATTTGTGCTCTGGAAGAAGAACATAGTTTCATTCAGTTTGTGTGGATAATCTTCATTGTTCTTATTATTCCCATTGTCCTCTATAATAAGTTAACCAAATTTACTTGTCTTTCTTCTTTTTACATGAAAGGTGAAGAAAATGCATGCTGTGTTCCAGGTCCCTATATACCACTACAATATGTCCAAAACATAACCTGAACAACACATTTTGAATTAAATGTCCAGTGTATTCCAGTGTGTTTTCTTATCTCAGGAGTCCTGAATAATGATTAATTAACTTACTTTTCTCTCTTTTTTTTTTCATTTTTTATAGTACTACATGGCAATAAAGGCTAACCACAAAAACATTTTGTGGTAAGAATCAACTCCCCAAACCTACATCAACCTTGCCTTTTCCAACTATGTCGTTTCTGGCTGCCTGACATTGAATATTTGGGAGAGTTCTCAAGAGCACAAAAAAACATGTTTTAGTTCTAATAGCTATAGAAACTGTTAGAGATATTAAAAAAACAATTCCTCCTAATTCCAAAGGCAAGGCCTATTTCCTTTTTTATTGATTCTCATCAAACATTGACTGAAATGTAGGAACAAGGTCACCTATAAAGAGGTGACCTTATCTTCTATTGATCTCAGTGCCCAAAATAACAGTAGTAAATGTCAGATTAGAGAAACTTCTAATGGCACAGAAATATCAGTAAGTCCTCTGTCAACCACATTTAATTCCTTTCTCCAAATAATGGCATCCTAGGGAGAAGCTGCTAGTTATTGATGAATGATTCTCAAGTGACTCCTAGCTTTTATTCATTGTCTAATAAATAGCTTAGAGAGGAATATAGGATTACCTGGTTCTCTTTTATAGAGCTCATGACATAATCTGGTGGCTATTTCTTGCAGTGTGTTCGACAGGTCCATGATCATCTTGGAATTATTCATGTTATGTATCAGTTGTAGAGAAACATTTCTCTGAAGTTCTTCTTTGAAATTTTGTAGTTTATTCAATTTTCCCATTTCTATCTTCAAAGTTGTGTAAACTTCAGATTAAAAAAAGAAATGATAAAAAATTTTAATCCCTCAACCCAACCATTAATCTCCTTTCTGCTGAACTAGTATTACAAACATTAAAGTCTAGGGAAGCAGTCCTTTCATAGGAGTGAGGGAAACAGGTTACCATGTTTAAGTATCTACTTATCAATACCTCTTGGGTTATATCACCTATAATCATTCCAAAGCTTCAATTCATGAATAAACTTTCTTGTAAAACTCATGTAATTCTAGGTGTTTTCGCCATCAGTCAAAACATGGGTAATACATACAAAAGCTTCCTAAGACTCCTAGTCCAATCAGCAGCAGAAGGCATAGTAGAGTCAGAGCCAAGGTTCTCTGGCGCCATCCACGGGAAGGAGCAGGTGGTGCTGTGGAAAGCAAAATTAGCCAGCAGGCCTGGGAATGGTATACATCTTAATTTGAATCATTCATTCATTCATTCATTTTGCCTTTATTTCTTTCCTAACATGTCTCTGGTAAAGGAATGTGTTTTGCTAGAAACTCAAGGACATTTTAAAATACGTTTTTAAAGGATAAGTAAAAAACATTTTGTTAGTTGTTTTACATGCAAACTGATTCTCACAGGAGATGTTGGTAATTGGTAGGCCGAGTCAAGAGACAAAGAGGCAAAAATGGGCTCTGAAAAGGAGAATTGAGAAAACCAATCAATGTGCTTTACTAGGATTAGAGAACGTGATGACCCATGAAGTGATTAAGAATGTTTTGAAGTTAGAATCTATAGTACAAATTTATGAAATATTTATGAGAAATCTTCTACTTGATAAAGGTGGTGGATAATAAATATATACACCTGTAGGCAGTATAGCACAGTGATTAAAAAAAAAAAAGGCACAGCATTCCTAGGGCTAGTATGCCTGGGCTTGAATGCTGGGTCTGCTGCTAATAACGGGGGACCTTGGACAAGTCACTTAACCTCTCTGTGTCCTAGTTTCTGCATTGGTTAAAAAAGAAAGCCATAAAATATCAGAGATTAAGCGAATTAATAGTGGTAATACAATTAGAATAGTGCTGGCATATAGCAAACACTTGCTGATTGTATTAAATATGTGTTTATATTTAATGAGATGAAGATGATTGGGGAAAGGAAACAGTTTTAGGGGAAAAATTTTTTAAAAATACAAAATTTCAGGTACAGTGTGGTTTTGAATGTTACATCTTTTTTAAAAATTTTATTTATTTATTTGACAGAGAGAGACACAGTGAGAGAGGGAACACAAGCAGGGGGAGTGGGAGAGGGAGAAGCAGGCTTCCCGCTGAGCAGGGAGCCCGATGTGAGGCTCGATCCCAGGACGCTGGGATCACGACCTGAGCCGAAGGCAGACGCTCAACGACTGAGCCACCCAGGCGCCCCAAATATTATATCTTCCAATATTTCTTTACCTCTTTTCTTCCTTTAGTCCCCTATGTGTCTTTTCATTTAACTTAACCTCTAAAAAAAAATAGGAGAAATTTGGAGATAATATATGCTTGACTTGGTAGAATATTAAATGACATTTTTTAAAGTTCTCTCTCTTTTTGGCTCTCTGTTTCTGTTTCACATGCACACACACATACTGCATTTCTTTCTTTCTTTTTCTCCTTCCTCCCATCCTCCCTCCCGCCCTCTCTCGCCCTCTCTCTTTTTCCCTCTCTCTTTCTCATTCCTTCTTCCTTAAATCTAGGCTCAACATATGGGAATTATGGGGTGTGTGTATGTGTGTATCTAAACTTTTTGTAGCCTCCAATAGGCATTATTTTTCCTTTTCTAAATAATGAGTCAGATTCTGGAAACATTAATCCCATCATACGACTGCAAGAATCACTTTAAAATAAAGTATCTTAAGTTCTCCTCAACAGTTGAACCAAAGCAGGCACTTCTTAAATACCATATTTAAGATGAGTAAATTTAGTTCAAAATATATCTCATACCTAGGGAAACTAAATTAATTAAAGATTTATGAAAAAGAGCTGTATCCCCATTAAACCAATATTCCCTGAGCTATTATTCTCTAATCATTCAAAGAGTGAATAGACCTAACAGCAAGCTAAAGAGAAGTGATATAATCTGATTTTATGTAAGTGAATGAATAATATGCCTAACAGTATAATAACATATTAATTCACAAAATTCCCATTTACAGGTCTGAATATTATTATCTCACTCTTTATCTCTAGCTATGGTTTAATATTAAAATAAAATTCCTCACTGTTTAGTTTTAAGTTCATATTCTTCCACTTGGTCTCACATGCCTACAGAGGATTGCTTTGTATCTTTCTCTGAACAAAATTTGATTTGTTTGACGGTAATCGTTAAATTGGTCAAATTGAGCAGCTTAAAAGTAACAGAACTTTAATTCCTTCTTAATATCCCTTTCTGAAAAATATTCTCATTATTCTCTTATTTATTATTGTCATTCTTTTTGATATCCTTTCGTTTTTATTTATGGTACCCAGAACTAAAAAGTGTGGTCAATTTTAAATATTAAAGAAATACCTACTAGACTAGATGAATAAACAAAAAATAATTAGTGAAATCCTGGCCAATAAAAACATTTTATTGGTGTATTTGTCATCTTTATCTATCTTTAATTTAAACCTCACAAAATAATCATTAAATATGTTGGCCTTTTCCAAAATGGCACAAGCAGCATAAACTAAATTATGGTTGCAATCTCATAATAAAACAAGCCTTGTTATCTCCATTTTATAGGTGAGAACACAGAGACTTCAAACAGTTGAATGATGTATTTAAATGTCCTGTGCACATCCGATAGTTTCCAAACCCTCTTCTCCATAATTCTGGCAGGTCAATAGAGAGTCTTTTCCAATCCACACACATGCATGTGACACTCAAGCACAGCATGTACTCATTGAAGTCACTGACACTCTCCTGCAAAATAGAGATGTCCATTTCTACCTCATAAGGCAAGAAGGATAGTGCTTGTCACTAAAAGTTAAGATCCAGTTTTACTATTACATGTGTGACTAGCCCTTTCTTATAAAAAAGAACCTACAAAACCATGCTTTTCCTGGACAGCATGTATTCCTTGTTTTATGGGGGGAAAACGTTTCATAATCCAGTAAAATCAAACTATTATCCTATCCTAATTATCTTGAGTGTGATATTAAAACAGAAACATTGTAAAAGCCTGAGTGTTCAATGCACCCATCAGCACCTTAAAAATTTATAATTATTTTGGTAAAAATGGGAGGCTCAACCTACAACACATCCAAAGTTCAAAATCTTACCTTTTATCCCAACTGTGTCAAACTCATGGATGTTTTCCCTTTTACTGGAGTCCTGAAATTTTAGATCTGCATAAGTAACCTCTTCAGACATTGATGGCTATTGAAAAGAAAGCCCAACAAACTATTAAAAAAAAAAAAAAAAGATGAAGGTGAACTAACATAGTTGAATTTAAACAGGAATTGTGATTTTAGACTTCGGTGTATAAGCGAAAGCTTATATTTATGAGCTTTAACTTCTCTTTTCACTGTCCAATCCTGTGTGTGTACCAAGGAGCTGCAGCCTATCAGAGGCCTCAGATAAGTACAGACACAAGTACAAGACTGAAAGTCTTTCTTCCTCTTATCTCTTCCTTTTTGTCATTTCTCTGTATCTCCCAACTACAGAAAGTAGTTCTAAAAATCTTTTTGGTTAGTGCCATGCCAACGAGCACAGATCACTAGCAACATGTGTGCAGATATGACATAGAATTTATTGGAGAAAAACCTTTAAGCAGAGAGAGAACAGAAGGACACAATCCCCAAACACTCGCTCTTCTATAGCAACGGCCTGGCACGGACATTCTGTATGCGTCATGGCAAAGGTCCTGACAGAAAGGATTTGCCTTTGCTGGGAAACTGCACATACCCAGAGCACTCCTAGGGAGAGGCTTGAGGATAAGCCCCAATCTGTAATTCTGTTACTTAGGGATAAGTTAGCCTAAGGGGAGTTAGGGAACATCTATCTAGTTTCTCTAGTAGCAAGAAATACATTACGGGGACTGGGGCCCAGGAACCACACCAGGGAGTATGCGTACTGACAGCCGAGGCAGGCCCTAGAAAGGCCCTAGAAATTGCTCTGTAGTCCAGGAAAGCTGAGATCAGTCTTGCTGTCTCTCTTCAGACGCCTCAATGTTTTTGAGCCAGCTCCCAGCTAAAGTTTACCAAAAGGGAAAAGCAAATGAGCCTCTAGAGCCATGCAAGCCAGGATCTTATAAAGTTCATTCAGCATTCGCAGGAGGCAGGGATCCATTCAGTTACCAATCAAGTGTACAAAGTAAAGGTGGGAGCTTGAGAATGATTGTTTTTGAGTAAATTCCTTCCTAATTCTCATTCTTATTAATAAATCTTATATTTTCGGTCACATAATTGAAGAGTTGAGAGACCACAGTGACAGTGACATACACAGGTTCAAAAAAAAGACCCACAATCAGGATCAAAAAACAAGTATATACATTAAAAGGGCAGTTTGAAAAGAACAAAATAGAGGGACAATTTGTACAATGTGGATAGGCTCAAAGGAATATATATATATATACGATATATATATCATTATTATGGAATATATATAAATATATTCTTTTTATTATTAGAATTGGTTTACATGGTTGTGGAGGTCAAGAAATCCTATGGTCTGCCATCTGAAAGTTGAAGAACCAGGAAATTTGTTGGTATGATTGTCTGAGTCTTAAGGCCTGAGAATTGAAAGTTGGAGGGGTATGGGGGAGGGGGGAGGCCAATTATATAAATCTCTGTCTGAGTCTGAAAGCCTGAGAACCAATAGCTCCAACGTCCAAGTATAGGAGAATATGGACATCTCACTTCAAGCAGAGAGAAAGAGAGAGAATTTGTCATTCCTCTCTCTTTTTTTTTTTTTTGTTCTATGCAGGAACTTAATAAATTTAGATCATGTTCACCTAGAATGGTGAGGATAAACTTCTTTACTGAGTCTACTGATTCAAATGCTAATCTCCTCTGGAGACACCCTCACAGACACACCCAGAAGTAATGTTCTATCAGCTCTCTGGGCCCTACTCCTTCGTTTTTAAACACTTTTATTTCTCAGATTCCATCTTGGTCTCACTTAATCCTTAATTTTTTTTTTAAGATTTTATTTTATTTATTTGACAGAGAGAGAGGAAACACAAGCAGGGGGAATGGGAGAGGGAGAAGCAGGCTTCCTGCTGAGCAGGGAGCCCGATGCGAGACTCGATCCCAGGACCCCGGGACCGTGACCTGAGCCGAAGGCAGACACTTAACCGACTGAGCATACCAGGTGCCCCTCACTTAATCCTTAATTAAGTTATTTTTAATTTCAGTTATTACTTATTTCAGTTCTAGAGTTTTCATTTGACTCTTGAATTATTTACATGCTGCTGAAATTCTTTATACTTTTCTCTTTACTTGAACACTCTAACATTTTTGTTTCAGATTTCCTGTCCAATACCATCGGTATCTGAAAGCATTTGCAGCTCAGTCTTTGTTTGTTTGTTTTAATTTGGCTTGTCAGTTGGTGTTTTGCCATTTAGTCTTTTTTTTTTCTAGGATGCCTCATAACTTTTTATCAAATGTCAGATATTGTATGTAAAAACAGTTGAGATTATGAATGATATCTTTCTACAAAAAGGTTGTTTTTGTTTTTTGTTTTCCTGGCAGGCAGGTACAATAAAAGCAGTAAGCATCGATCAGTTGGGAGTCCCTCAAGTTTCATCCTTGTTGGTTTTTTTTTTTTTTTAATTTGTTCAACCTTTATACCAATCTTCTTGTAGGAGGCTTCCTGTGATACTGGCTGCAGTTCTATGGCCAGAAATGGAAAGCTCCCAGCCACCCTCATCGTATATAACCTACTGAGCATATGCCCAAGGCCTAATGGTCAAGCAATACATCTACACCGGTTTTTCTGAAGCAACATGTATGATGGACAGTATTATAGATGCAGAAGCAAGAGCAGTTGCTAAACTTCCCTCTCACTCCTCACACTATGGGGTGATGCATAACAATCGGGCGGGTCTGAGTGTCAGACTCTAGGTAGGAGATTCTTTTTTTTTTTTTTTAAGATTTTTATTTATTTATTTATTTGACAGAGACACGAGAGAGGGAACACAAGCAAGGGGGGTGGGAGAGGGAGAAGCAGACTCCCCCTGGAGCAGGGAGCCCAACGTGGGGCTTGATCCCAGGACCCTGGGATCATGACCCGAGGTGAAGGCAGACTCTTAACGACTGAGCCACCCAGGCGCCCCCCCCCCTTTTTTTTTAAGATTTTATTTATTTATTTGAAAGAGAGACAGAGAGAGTTTGAGCAGGGGGAGGGGCAGAGGGAAAGAATCTTCAAGCAGACTCCCCGCTGAGCATGGAGCCAGACTTGGGGCTGAAGGCCAGCTCCAGGTGGGCTCCAGGCAGAACTCCATCCCAGGACCCCGAGATCATGACCTGAGTAGAAGCCAGATGCTTAACTCACTGAGCCACCCAGGCGACCCTCCAGGTAGGAGATTCTGATGCTGCACAGGGGTGTTTTAGGTGCATGGCTGGAGAATGAGCAGCTTTTTTGCTGGCATTAAGGAAGGCTATATGCTAAGCACTTTGGTCATGATGTTGTAACAGGGGGAAATCTTGCTTCTCCCCGCTGCTGCTGCCTTGGTATTTTTCACCACAGAAACCACCAGCCCACTCCTTATGTCTGTAACCAGAAGATGTGTCAGAACCTGTCATGTGAGTCCTTACTCGGAAATGCTATCCAAATTGATGGTCTTAAGTGCTCAGCTATAGCTAGTTACTTTGGAGACTTACAGGGGCTAAGCCTGTAGCAAACCCGTACTGGATGAGTTAATCCTCTCCTCTCCTTCTCGTCTTGACTCTAAAGTGTGGCTGACATTTTTTCCACTGCAGTTGAGTGAACACTTAAATCCGGTAAAGGCTATAAGGCTGGATCACTAGGACAACGGCCACTGGAGGCAGAGACTCAGTTTCACTTAGCATGTAGAAAACGGGCAAAGTATGCCCTTCTGCTTTTATTACTATGCAAATTCATAACATCCCTGAAACTCCTCAGAGTTCTGAGGTCACAGGGCAGTCGACTAAGCTAACACCTAAGGAAAGAGACAGGGCTTGCTTACCTGGGGCAAACACTCAACTCATATAAACTATTATAAAGTATTAGGGTAAAGCTTTTAACAAGTTGCTAAAGGTAGATTGTGGGTTTATATGAGAGCATAGAACCCCTGATTGCTGCAGACACAGGATATATCACACCCACCAGCAGACACTTCACAGATGTCACGGGATGCTGAAAGTTTGAAAGTGATGAAAGATTGGGGGAGATGAACAGAAGTTACTGTGCAGATGACATGAAGTCCCATCTGGAAATGTCTCCCCCAAGGAACAAAAGTCTCCCTCTCAGGCCACCGGTGGACTCATTACAGCTGAAAACGAAACAGAAATGTTTCTATACTCCTGGGGGAAAGACTGGGAAGCATACTGACAGTATTTACACTGGCTGCCAGCCGTGCTCTGCAGAATGAAACTGATTATTCCCAGTGGCTACTTGCTTGACACACATCCTGTCTCACTTCATGAACGTTTCTTTCACCTTCCAAATAAACAGGCTGCACTAGATTCTTCAGGTCTCATGTTTTCTTTTCCCATTTTTCCTTTCTTTAGTCCTTCCTGCCTTTGAAAGGACACCGATCTGTCTTTCCTTTTTTGCATATTCCTCTCCTGTCTTCAGTCCCTGCGCTGTACCACTACCTAAGGGTTTACAGATAGGCCTAAGTAGGGAATCAAGAAAAACCCCAAACCAAGCCCTGGAGCACTTACCAATTTAAAAGATGAGAAAAAATGTGACTTGAGTAGATAAAATGTAAGATAAAATATAAGATCTCCAGTTAAATTTGAAATTTGGATTAAAAATCGTTTATTTTCAGCGTAAGTATGCCTGACGCCATGTTTTCATTTGTTGTATTTGCAATATTTGCTGTTGATCTGAAATTCAAATTTGGCTGGGAATTCTATATTCTAATTTGCTAATTCTGGTCAACGCTATACATAAGCCCAAGGAGTGGGTTGCCTAGAAAAATGGAGACAAATATGTATAGGTTGCAAAAATTCTTTCAGTGAGAAGGCAGCTTTATCCTGATCACCCGCCCTGAAGTATGTTCTCACCACCCCTCTGCACACCTATCAGTTGACCTACCCATTCCTCAGTCCCTTGTTTCTTCATCAAATTTAATCAAGTATTTAGGTGCCCAACTAATATTTTCCAAATGACTGAAAGGCCTCAGGAAAGTCATTGTGTATATGGAATGGCTTCCCGCTACTTTAGGCTCTGGCCTTACGAAGTCACAGAAAACTGACTGAATGAAGCAGGCGCATAGCCACTGAGGGGTCTGCCAAGTCAGTTTGCTAGAAAAAGAAACTTCATAGCACAAACTTCTAAATCCAGGCTGCCACTGCAAGTGGAATAAAATAGTACAAAACTGAAGCGTATGTACTTTTTTTTATAGTATTTTTTTGGCGTTCTAATTCTTTTTAAAAATTTAAAATTTTTTTTTTATTTTTTCTATTAACATATAATGTATTATTTCATTTCAGAGGTACAGGTCTGTGATTCATCAGTCTTACACAATTCACAGCGCTCACCATAACACATACCCTCCCCAATGTCCATCACCCAGCCACCCCATCCCTCCCCCTCAACCACTCCAGCAACCCTCAGTTTGTTTCCTGAGATTAAGAGAAGCATATGTACTTATGTACCAGAATGTTTTATCCAGTAGTGAACATCTCCACCTTTATTCATTTCTCAAGGCAACTGGGGATCTGGTGGGGAACAAGCACTCCATAAGCTCAGCGCAGTGGTTGCTGGAGGTGAGATTGGCCAAGGAAATGTTGCCAGGCAACAAACTCAAGCCAGAGCCTATTTAGATGTAACTCACTAGACACTGGTCAGGTTTGTTGCCTGGCAACATTCTCTTTACCAATCTCACTCCAGCACTTGTTGCACTGCCATATTCTTGGTTACCACATTCAAAGCAGTTGGATTCTAAATTTCACAAAATATTGCTATTAATAATATAATTGTTTTATATTTTCTATTTTGTATCTAAAACATTTAAATACTCATCCTGAAGTAACTCATCTCGAAATCAAATACTAGAAACATGAGTAAAATGAAGAAAAGGGTTTAAAATATACAGTACATCCTGAAAAAATCTGAAAACACTTCCTTAAAGAAGAGTTAATGAAATAAATAGAAGAAAAATTCAGCCATGAGAAAATGGATGTGCTGTTTTTTTCCCCGACACCCCCCCACCCCCGCCCTGCCATGGGGGAGAGAAAACTGAAGAAAAATAAGCACAGCTGTGTGCTGCTGATGGCTTCATTACTGAGTGACTTTGTGGATTTCTTTGTTTTTTTTTTGGGTTTTTTTGGCTTTTTCTTTTTTAGATATCACCTTATTTAACTGTTTCTTACTTCCCATCAGAGATATTTCTCTTGAGCTGGAAGATACTTCTCTTACTTCTCATTTTTGGGGGTCATTGCCTAGAGTCCTCTTGGATACTATTCTTAAAAAATGTGGCTAAATACACATATATAAAATTTCCTGTTTTAACTGTTTTGAAGTGTACCGTTTAGTAGTGTTAAGTACATTCACATTGTTGTGCAACCAGTCTCTGGAACTCTTCTCGGGTTGCAAAACTGAAACTTTATACCCCTTAAACAAGAAGTCCTTGGGGCGCCTGGCTGGCTCAGTTGGTTAAGCAACCGCCTTCGGCTCAGGTCATGATCCTGGAGTCCCGGGATCGAGTCTCGCCTCGGGCTCCCCGCTCAGCGAGGAGCCTGCTTCTCCCTCTAACCCTTCCCCCTCTCGTGTACTCTCTCTCTCTCATTCTCACTCTCTCAAATAAATAAATAAATCTTAAAAAAAAAAAAGTCCTTTTACGCCCAGTCCCTGGCAACTATCATTCTACTTTTGTCTCTATGAATTTGACTAGTCAGGATCCTCATTTAAGTGGAGTTATGCAGTGTTTGTTTTTTCGTGACTGGTTTATTTCACTTAGCATTATGTCGTCAAAGTTCACCCATGTTGTCAGAATTTTCTGCCTGAGGAATATTCCATTGTATGCATATATCACATTTTCTTCATTCATCCATCAGTGGATCCTTAGGATGCTTTCACCTCTTGGCTATTGTGAATAGTGCTGTTATGAACATGAGGTTTATAAATATCTCTTCAAAATCCTGCATTTAATTTTTTGAGAGTGTATACCCAGAAATAGAATAACTGGATCATACAACAATCCGATGATTAATTTTTTGAGGAACCACCATATTGTTTTCCATAGCAGCTGCACCATTTTACATTCCCACCAATACTTAGCATAGTGTCTGCATTGTAGCAATGAATCCTTAATATGCTCTAATCATCAGACTGAGTAGACAAAAATAAACACAGGTAGGAAATATACACACACACACACACACACACACACTCCATTTTGGGAGCTCTACCCCCATTATCTCATCTAAACCCAATTACCTCTCAAAGGTCTCATCTTCTCATACCATCACATTGGGGGGTTTCAACGTATGAATTTTGTAAGTACACCGACAGCCCATAACATATATGTACATGATGTATGTTTATATATGTGTGTGTATATATTTTTATTTTTATTTGTACCTTTGCAAGAGAATGTATGTATGTGTTGGGGGTGATTGTGCATTATTTTTCCTCATCTGATCGCACAAATTTCATTTGCCCTGGTTTAATTAAATGACACCATGCTCCAGCTACACGTCTCAAATTTTAGTTTTACAGTATACTTATGCATATTTATAATATATTTACAGTATATTTACTCTAATTGTACAAAATACAAACTACACTGCTAGTTTTTCAGCCTATAGGTCACTATATATAAAACAGATACGCATTGTGATCAATGACTAGTCATGTCACGTTCTTGTAAGTCTGTCAATTATTGATTCGTGTGCATAGACAATTAAGTGTAAAGTTATGTTACCTCTTCATCTCACAGTAATAAATTCATGTGATATTTTACAAAAATATACTTATTTTTGTAAAATATCAAAAGAGGGAACTGGTCAATAATGATTAAAATGCAGCAAAGAAACAAAAAGGGATAATGCTGAAGGTCAACGTCAGATAGAAAACAGACAAGTAGGGGGTTGCCTGGGTGGCTCAAATGGTTAAGCCTCTGCCTTCTGCTCAGGTCATGATCTCAGGGTCCTGGGATCAGGCCCCACGTCAGGCTCCTAGCTCATCAGGGAGTCTGCTTTTCCCTCTCCCTCTGCCTCTCCCCGTGCTTGTGCTCTCTCTGTCTGTCTCTCTCAAACGAATAAATAAAATCTTAAAAAAAAAAAGAGAAAGAAAATAGACAAGTAGAAAGGAATAGCTGATCATGAGTATATTGATACTTCTACTTTTGAAGAGACTCTAGATATGTAGCCAGAGGAATTTTGAAGGCAATCATCAACAAAAATAAGGGACGTGGTTGTGATGAAAAGGATGGCAATGTCCCAGAGAAGTTATAACCACAAAAAGTTATTACATAAAAGGGATTCTCAGAGATATTTCATGACATTCCAAATACAAAAAATAAAATGTTGAAAGCCCATTCAAACTTAGAAGTATGAAAGTTTGAGAAAGCATAAAAAAGATACTAGCTCCATATTACAGGTTACACAGCAAGGCGCCCAAAATGAGGAGTATGGGCCTCTCCCTACTCGGCTTTGAGCAGTTGGCAGGTGGGATGTAAGGAGCCAATCAGAGACTGAATTCTCAGAGTCGTCTCTGTGGTCCAGGCAATCCCAGGCTGTTGAGCCCACACCCCTGGGACAAGGGTAGCCGTTGGTGCTTGCCTGGAAGCCGTCACTGTTCCAGCCTCGTAACACAAGAGCCTTGTCCATGAGCTTTGGAGATGGAGAGCGAAGGGATTGAGAATAGGGATGGAATGGAGGCTGTGGATCAGAATGTCAAGAGGCCAGGTTATGGGGGGCACAGAGATGGTCCTTGGGTACAGAAACTAAGCCTCCTGTGACTATCCTAGCATCCTTTCTTGATCCCAGTTTGCGTCCTCAGCACTTTTGTTTTTAATTGTCCATAATATGCCCTTAAATAAAAAGCAGTATTCATTAATAAAACAAAGACTTCAAAGAAATGGTGGATCCACCCCTCTCCACCAGATTTTTCCCCCTTGGAAGAGGCAGCAATAAAAAAGCCTCTGGATGAAGTTTGGTTTTCTATTCTGGGCCCAAGGTAAGAAAACTGAGTAAGTCAAATAGTTTTCAGAAGTGACACTAAAAAGTGGAGCCAAAGCACGTTTGAGACTCTTGCTGCTGAGAAGTTAGCTCTGAGTACCCTTTCTCACTTTCCCGATATTAATCGCTAGTGTTGTGAAGAGTAGCACATATAGAAGATAGAGAAAAAGGTAAATCTTGCTTGAGTTTTCTGTTTGTTTGTTGTTTTTCCTCCAGAATATAAACAATGACATGCATCTTCCTTAGGTATAGTAACAAAGAAAATGCTAGTCATGTCAAGTATGATATGTGGAGGCATCGCTTTTCTTCTTTGGGCAATGTTAGGATTTCCTAGAAAATGTAAGTAACCAATTTCTGCTTAAAATATGTTAATTGTATTATCATTGCTTCAGCCTGATACCAATGACTAGCCTGTTCTTCCTTAACATTGAATAATTAGAATCAGAAAGCATTCTCCCCGCCAGAGCATCTAATTGCTTTACAAAGCTAGTCACCTGCTTTACCTTCTAGAAAGAATAATCTTTTAAAGTTTATTTATTAAAGTAATCTCCCAAGATGGGACTCGAACCCATAACCCTGAGATGAAGGGTTGCATGCTTTACCGACTGAGCCAGCCAGGCACGCTATAGAAAGATTATTCTTTTAATATCTATTAAACTTTGGGTATAGTATTAGGTGATGATGCTACCAAAATGAAAAAAAAAAAAAAAAAGAGGGGGCATTTTGGCCTGAGAGGAATCAATCTTTGACAGAAGAAACAAGCATGTAAGTAAACAGTAACAATAAAATAATTGCTAAATAGAAGTATGTTCAATTTGAAGAGGAAGAGGAGATTATAAGTCTGCTTTTGGTAGTCCAGCAAAACTTTGTGAAGAGAAAGGTATTTGTGCTGAACCTTAAGGTCAAGTAGGCATTTATGAGACAGTGCCTTAGAAGAAAGAAAGAACAGCAGTGTCGGAGAATCACAGCAGGTCTAAATGTGATAGAGTTCAAAAGAAGTGGGGTGGGGACTAGCACCTGTACCACCTTTCCCTAGTGCATTAACTCTCTTACTCCCATAGATGATTATTTTATACTTTCTCCTTTTTCTCCAGAACTTTAATGCCTCTTTCTTCATCTTCACTCTCAGGTCTATATTTTTGCTTTCAATTTTACCTCATAAATTATAACAATTACTAGAAAACTTCTAAATATTCTCATGACCACATCTACTTTCTTACCTCTCTCTTTCCCCATAATATGCTCTGTCTAGCATCCTGGTACTGTAGATAGAGTATTCATGTTCTGCACTAGTTTCTATAGCCTCTCACCTGATCAGTTATATGACTATAATAATATTCCTGTCTCTCTCCTACATTATAGTTTTTCCATTCTCAACTGAAACATCCCCATCAGCGGTACATTATGGTGATATCTCTTCTACCTTAAAAAAAAAAAAAAAATTGATCAGCCCTCACTCTTTTTTTAGCTACCAATTTCCTTTTTCTTCTGTTACAGCAACCTCCTTGAAAAAAAATTTTTTGCTAAGTTTTTCTAATTTCTATCTTCCCATTTTCTGTTAATCTACTCTGATCAGGCTCCACTTCCTTTTTCATCTACCTAATTTGTCTTTCAAGTTCATTGGCAACTTCCGTATTGCTAAATCCAGTCCATTCTCAGTTTTCATCTTACTGAACTTTGCAGCATTCAACAATCTCTCCTTCTGGAAATAATTTCTTCATTCGTCTTCCAAGACACCATTCTCCCATGGTTTGCTTTCTACCTAACCTGTTACTTCTTCCAGCTTTCCTTTTCTGATTCTTTCTTTTCTCCCTGATGTCTTAACTTTGGGGTGCCCTGGAGCTCAGTTCCTGAGCAGGTCCCTTCTTTATCTACCCTTGGCAATCTGAACCATGCTTACAACTTTGTCACATAAATTCTGATGACCTCCAAATACACATCTCCAATCTGGGTCTCTTCTCTGAATTCCAAATTTTTAAATCCACCTAGTGGACTGTCTAATAAACTTCTCAAACACAACATTGTCCAAGCTGAAATCTTAGTCTGGCTTTCTCTTATAACCCCTTCTATCTGTGGTCTTCCATATGTCAGGAAATAGCAACTTTGTCTTTCCAATTTTCAAACCAACCTTATAGTCATATTTGACTTCTTTCCCCCCTCATACCTCCCCCCCACCCCATTATCAGCAAGTTCTTCCTGGTCTTTCAAAATAGAATTTGTGTACTTTTCACCACTTCTACTGTTACCACTCTGTACCTAGCCAACATCCTCTTTTCTAAATGTTCTTCCCTCTTCCACCCTTTACCTCTTAGTGCAAAGTTGTCCAGTGAAAAAGTGTGAGCCACAAATGTCATTTATATTTTAGAAGCTACACTGAAAAAGTAAAAAACAAATGAAAATAGTTTTCATTGTATTTTTTATTTAACCCAGTGTGTAAAATAAAATAAAATGGAGTCATTTATGTCAAGGTGTTTTAAAATGTATCCAGGAGGCCATTAAGATGCACGTCCTCCTGAACTTTTGAACCAGGCCAAACCCCAAATATTCCAAGGGCTCTGCGAGAACTCCTGCGATTTGCTACACTAATGGACTTTTGCTCACTGAAAGCCTTAGCCACCAATTATGCTTAGCCAAGATTAGTTTTCTGCTACCAGCACCAATCAAAATTCTTTATAAACAAAATATACAAACCTTCCCTTTTTGTCTTTAAAAACCCCGACTTTTGCTCCCTAGTGGGATGCTATTTGGATTGCCACTCAAATCCAAATACTCTGAATTGCAATTCTTTGATTAAAAAAAATGCTTTTGCTTAGTTATTGCCTCCTGACAGTTTTAGGTTAATATCAATATAGTCAATATATTATCATTTCACCATGTATCAATATGTTATTAATGATATTTTTAAGTTTTTTTGTACTAAGTTTTTGATATTCAGTGTGTATCTTATATTTATAGGACATTTGGAGTTGGATCAGCCATATTTCAAATGATCGATGGCCATGTGTAGCTAGTGGCTACCATACTGGACAGTACACTTCTAGAATATATTTTAAACAAATTTTCAAAAACAAATCATATCTGTTTAAAATTCTGCAATGGTTGTTCTTTCACTTGGAATAATACCAAAATTTTGTCAATGGTCTACAAGGCTCTGTTGGATCCAGTCACCCAATTACTTTTGTGATCTCATCTCCTACCACTTGCCCCTTCACTCAAGCTTCTTCAGTCATACAAAGATCTTCACTATTTGTGAACAAGCCAGGCACTTCACTTTGGTCCTTTGTACTGTTTCTTCCCTTTGCTATGGAAGATCTTCCCCTATACATGCATGTCCCTCACTAGTTCACTACCTTCAGGTTTTGGTAAAATCACCCTCTGGTTGAATCTTACCTTGGTTACTGCATTAAAATTACAAGATTCTCCACCAATAATCTTAATCCCCTTTACTCTGATATATTTTATGACAGACTTATAATTTATTAGACATGAAAGTCTCATAAAAACAAGGATTTTTTGGTATGTTATATACAATGTTGTATTTCTAGACCTGCAGAAATATCTGGCACATGATAGTAGCTCAAATGGTAGTTGTCAAATGATTGATTGAATGAATGAATGACAAAACTTGGTTTTCTCGTAACCCAAGTTCTGAACCAAATACTTGAGTTTTGTACTAACTATTTATTTAAACTTGAAACTTTAAAATCATTTTGAACTTGATACTTTCAGATAATTTTGGTGACCTGATTTTTCCACTTGGCTTTTATACCAGGGCTCATGTGAATAGTCATACACTGCTGGTTTCTTGTATCATTTGAAGATTCTCTCATTCATAGGCTTGACTATGAACTAGTCATTTATTTCAACTGTGAAGAGGTGTCCTTTTGGTGAGCCTCGTTTTCCTCAGGGCTATACTTAACAAGTAACTTCATCTGTCTAATTGCAGTAAGTTGGAAAGTAAAAAGTGGATAGCAGAAAGGTAGTAAAATTCCAAACTGTTTTCCTTGCATTGTTTTGTGTTTAAAAACAAATGAACAACTTCAGCTTCTAGGGAAAAGCTGTTCTTGAAAGACCATGTAGCCTCAATTAAGCCAGCAATAGGAAGCCAGCCCTCTGAGATTATGGAAACAGACAACTGGTTTATTTACAGTAGACATGTCCCAGGCACCTTAGTAAATTATAGGAAAGGAAATGGATGAATAGAGAAAATGCCAATAGTATTAAAAAAATGGGAGGAAACTGGCTAGAAAAGATTGAGTTTTTTTGTTTGTCTACTGTTGCTACATTAAATAATGCATACACCTGCATTCTTCAATGCAGATTTCTTTCATGCTATGTTCTTGATCTTTTCTTTTTCTGAGTTGACGTTTGAAGTTAAATCATTTGAATTGAATATGGAAGTAGGATACATTTTCTCAGTCTGAAATATACCTTTTATCGTGAAGGTAAGACTCTTCCTTTCTCTTACACTTTCTTCATTTTTTTTCTACTACTGTGTTAATTTTAGTTAAAAATCCAAGGATATTTAAAGACAATACATGCCCTGAGGATGAAATTATATGTCCACAAGGCTGGAACCAAATCAATAATAATTGCTTCTTTCAATCTGAACATGAAAAATCTTGGATAGATGGCCAAGCAAACTGCATAGCCTATCGTGGATCTCTGGCCATATTCAACTCCGAGAATGAAGTGGTTAGATTTCTCCTTTGCAATATAAATCACATTTAATTTATCGAGTACCTATTATATGACAGGTATGTTTCAAGGGTGTGGTATATCAGCCAACCGAACAAATATCTTTGCCTTTATAGAGCTTACACCCCAGAGGAAGAGACAGGGAATGAAAAATAATGATAACAAATATGTAAATTATATAGTATATTAGAAGTTAGTAAATTCTGATATACATATATGTGATTTATGTATATATGTGTATCTGATATAGATATGCATGATATAGATGATATAGATATGCATAAGAGATATTCTGAGTGTTCTAAGTGGGTAGGCTGCAAGTAAGATAGTCTTAGTGAGATGAAGATACTGAGAAAAACTGTAGAGTAGAAAAGAGAGTTAGAGGAATATAGCTTCCCAGGAAGAAGAAACATCTGACATGCCTGGTATTCAAGGAACAAAAAAAAAAAAAAAAAAAAAATCAGCCAATGTGCCTAGAAGGAGGGAGTGAGTGAAAAATGCAGATGATTAGGGTCTTGGAGGCTATAGTAAATACTTTGGTTTTCCTCCAAGTAAAATAGGGAAATATTGCAAAACCATGAACAAAAGTGAGACATGATCTGACTTAAACTTTAAAAGAATCATTTTCTTTGCTGTGATGAGCTAGTGAGTGGCAAATATAAAAGTAGAGTGCCATGTTACAGGCTATTGCAATAACCCTAGCAAGAGAATAATGGGCCAAAAGAAGGACCATAGCACTGGAGGTAGTGAGAATGAGAAAACTAGGAGAGATCCATTACAGCACCCTGTGTTTCATAAAGGGAATCTTTAATGCCCTATCTGGGACCTTCTTCATATTGGATTGGACTAAAGAAGCCAAATGCAAGTGCACCTTGGATGTGGGCAAATGGAGATGCATTCAATAATTGGTAAGCCTTAATAACATTTATTATTAAATGTGTTAAGCATGGTAAGGATTCTAAGTCTATAAACAGCTACCCCTATAGTTTCCTCCACATTATCTCCCCCAAAGACTGCCAATATATATAGATACCAAAGAGAACCTTCAAACAAATATATAGCCCTTAGTGAGGGTTTGGCATCAAATATCAACATCTACTTCTATATGGTAAGTTGGACTGTATATACCACATGTGTACCACAAGTGTTCTTTTTATCTGAGACTATATAAAAATCTAATTAGTTTGATCCTTGCCTCTTTCCACTTGAGGTTTTGCCTCTATTTGTTTGTTTGTTGTTGCTTTGGACTATCATTTATAGGGGAGTCTGACAAAGTGTACTCAAGCTTACACTTACCACACACACTGGTGGCCTGATACAGAAGGGAATGAGTCAGAAAGAGAAAATGTATGCTCTAGGTGATCTTTATTTAAAATTTTCAAACTTCTCTGTGTTCCTTAGCTTGAAGAACTGATTATACGCCTCCACTCCATTTTTGTTTTTGAAACATTTGACTTTTTCCAACTTCAGAGAGGAGAAAGGAAAAGAAAAAATATTGAGTTCCCTGTGAAGGGCACGTCTAGCTACAATTTATTTAGCATCTGTTAATTCTGTGCTAGATATTATATGAGGCATATGACCTGATAAAGAAATAGCAGGACTTTCTAAAAATAGACTTCTGTTATCATTGTATTTATACCCAGTTTGGGGTGAAAATACACAATGATTTAAGGATAATAATATAACCAATTTTGAAAAATTTAAGAAAAGTATGACATAAATTAAACTTTCTGACTACCAAACCTAATATATATTTTTATATATTTATTATATATTTTCTTTAGAGAAAATATTGGCAGTTTACTATGATATTATATATTATATATAGTCCCACTTAAAAATAAAAGATGAGGAAGAAGTAAAAACTAGAAGTTGGTTAAAGATGGTGTATTAATTTGCTAAGCCTACTGTAGCAAATATCACAGACTAGGCAGTGTAAACAACAGTTCTAGAGACCAGAAATCCCAGATCAAGGTGTCAGGAAGGTTGATTTCCTCTGAGTCCTCTCTCCTTCGGTTGTAGATGGTCATCTTCTCCTTCTGTTTCTTCACATGGTCTTCCCTCTGTGCACATGCCTATCTTGTTCAAATTTCTCTTATGAGGACACCAATAATATTGGATTAGGGCTCTAAAGACCTCATTTTGACTCAATCACCTCTTTAAACACTTCATCTCTTAATATGGTTATATTCTGAGCAACTAGGGGTTAGGTCTTAAACATCTGAATTTTGGGGGGACATAAATAAGCCCATCACAGTTGGCACTAGGGTAGACACAGAAATGGGCATATATTTTGGAAATACACAGGATAAAATTTTGAAGGTAACCTAAAAGTTGGGAAAGTGTACACCAGTGCTACAAAGTTCCCCAAAATTGAAGTGCTAAAAGCATTTTAATTGCCATATAACCAGAAACCCATTGTAACTCAACATTCTATTTTTCTTTTCCTCATTTTAAATTTTCAATTTCATATGTTTTATATGACCTAAAAAAGGAATTTAGAAAATCCTTTCTAGATATTTTATTTATGATTATTTACATGTTTCTTGGTTCATCAAGTGAAGAATACCTATTTCAGTATTACTATACCAACGGTTTCAAAATATAGATGAGTTAACATCTACTTCAGCCTTTAGACCAATTTTTTAAATGTGTGGGGTGGGGGGTAAGTGAGGGTCAATAAAATTTCAGTTATACTCTCCCTGTATCTGATCTTTAATGGCTCAATATATTTTTTTCTTATTTTTATTCTTATGTATAAAAGGAAGAATCTAATCCTTCGCAAAGTGATTTTTCAATATTTACTACAGTATAAAACAGCATCAAATTCCAGAATTCTTTGTTCTGCAGTGAAGTTCCTTGGTGTTCGTTTCTTCCCACACCACCATCCTGAAGTTTGGAGGCTGAAGAGGAGAGAAGCAGTTCATTTCACTCCCTCTACTCCTTTTTCATTGCACATTTCGAAACATGGTCACCAAAGTTTCATGTTTCAGGCTGTGCATAGTTATTTTTCATGAGTGTCGGTAAATAATTAACCTTCTTATTTTGTTCCAGGTTTCATATTGAAGGAAATGGAACGTGTGCCTTCATGTTTAAGAAGGGCATAAACAGTGCCAGTTGTGATGTTGCAATAAATTATATATGCAGCAGAGAATCCCTTTGTCCTTAAAGGTCCCTCATAATAAAGTAAATAAAGTAATTAAAGAAAGACTATCTTTTTTGTGCATTATAAATTCATATGGATACATTTTCCTTCCCATCAGCCATATATTTTAAGTTGCTCAATAAAATTTTAAGTGACTTCTATCTTCATTTAAATAACTTATCTAAGAAGTCAAACTAAACTGAATTTTTATATGATGTTGCTTAGCCACATAAATTGGTGTGTCTAAGCCTAAGGGTTTAATAGTGGTCTTGTTAACAACTGATTCAACAGCATGCTCAGTGGAACAGATTGGAGGGTAAAGAGAAAGGAGTGAAAGATTCCTCTATCTGAAATTGAATTAAATCTGCCTACAAGAGATGAGAGATGAAGCACGAGGTGAGCACTGTGTCTTCCACTCAGCCTCCATGGTATAAGGCCATGGGAGAAGTATTCAGAGATTAATTAGGATTTCTTACTTTGCATCACCATCAAAGACCAAATCCCCTGAAAATAAATTTGTACAATATTTCACAGTTTCTTAGATCTTTTTTCAAGCTACTGAGCTAAAGAATTACATAACATGGATTTGTTGTTGTTGAAACCACTGAAGGAATCAGGCTTTGGGATGTGAGTCATGGTGAGCAAAATATGAGTATTTAGAGAAGGAGCAGAATGTGAGGAAAGAAGCCCTGGTAACTTGAAGAAATCATGGAGATTTCTCTGGTCTTTCACAAAGCTGTGGGATTTAGATCCCAGATAACATTTAAATAGGAATCCGAGGGACCGAGCGAGGGTGAGGGTCTACATCTAGTTTTCATTAAAAATCTGTGCACATTTTAATATTTAATATTTTAGTCTATATTTTTGCATTTACAAAATTTTCTTTTGAGAATACTTCATCTCAATTTTTCTTAAATAATGAGCAAATGAAAGATTATTTTAGAATTTTTGCATTCGTGTTCATCAAGGATATTGGTCTGTAATTCTCCTTTTTGATGGGGACTTTGTCTGGTTTCAGGATCAAGGTAATGCTGGCCTCATAAAACGAGTTGGGAAGTTTTCCTTCCATTTCTATTTTTTGGAACAGTTTCAGAAGAATACGTATTAATTCTTCTTTAAATGTTTGGTAGAATTGCCCTGGGAAGCCATCTGGCCCTGGGCTTTTGTTTCATGGGAGATTTTTGATGACTGCTTCAATTT